AAAGATCTCTCTGTTAAATTATTAGCAAAATGGTGTTAACTTGTGAGAATCGTTACAAGTTTGTTGCATGTAAATTATAAAGAAAATCTAATGACTAGATTTTCTATAAATAAACAAAACCGATTCTAAAGGCCTGTTTATATTTATTCATGTTGCCATGGCAACGGTACATACGACAGCTTAACCATCAGAAAACCAAAGTTTGTGTTGTTAACTTGCTTGCTGCCATTTTTGGCGACCGAGGGATCAAGGGTTTTAGAGAAAAAGGTGAATGAACACAGGTATCAAAAACTGTGTTCAGCCACCTTAATCCTTTAAACACGACTGTCTGGCATTGACAAAGCTGTCAAAACTTGCCATACTCATTAGGTCCTGTTATTTATAAACAATAGCCTCCATTTGGCGCGAAAATCTGTACGGATATTTCTCCGCGGACATTATCTGCACGTACCGAGAAGCGAAGAGTTTTCCGACAGCATGGCTCGAGGAAAACTGTGTGTTTTGATGAACAGATAAAGTCCACGGACAAACATTCTGGCAGATTTTGGCGCCAAATGGAGGCTACTGTGCTTATTCTCCTTCAAATATTTTTCGCAACACACATATTTTTGGAAAATCACCCGGATATTCCCCAGTTTTAGCTGGCGAATATTTAGTCATTTGACGTGTTTAGACCAATCGCGTGCAAGCGAAAATATTTGATGGATTATAAAAAGCAATATTTCCTTCAAGGTTTAAAGCAATACATTCTCGAGATAGTTTGTAAAGTAGACAGTCCTGGCAGAAGGAAGAATTTTTTCTTAATGACAGATGTTAGCTGTAATTCCTCAACATCAATAGCAGAATGTTAAAGCCCAGCTTTAAAATGAAGCAGTCATCAAAAATGGAAACAAACAAAAAAAAGGATAAATCGTGCCTCCCGAACGGGCATGATAGCTCCATCTTGCCCGCTCGGGTACCTTATCACGTCGCAGGATTTGGTTTACCTCGCCCGCTCACGGAGCTAGCCATATAATAATAAGTAATGGTAACAGGACTGAGCGGAGTCCAATTCGATCTGTTATCATAAGCCGAGAGTGATAACAAAATCGGACGACCGCACAGCGGGAGTCCGATTTATTTATCGCGAGTATGATTACAGA